ACCCTTACTAAAACTCATCTTGAAAATAAATAAGAAAACATATTTCTCTAGATACCACTTTGTTCCCATTTAAAGCAAAACTTGAAAGTAATTTCTACATCTATTGTCTTCCAGTTTTCTCCTACCACTCCATCAGATCTTTATTTCCTTTACTCTACTGAAACAGTTTTGGTGAAGATAATTGGTGACTCCTCTTTAACAAATCTAATGATCTCGGTTTTTACTTTACTTAACTTGTCAGCAGCATTTGAGACAACTGATCATCCCTTTCTATTTTTTAAAATGCTTTTGCACTTGACTCCAGTACCATCACTGAGACCCTTCTCAACCTTCTTTGCTCAGTTTTCTTTATTGCCCTGATCTTCAAATGCCCCAGTTACTCACTGGATCCATTGTCTTCTTTATCTATAATCTTTGCCAAGTGATTTTATTCTGACTCATGGGTTTACAAATCATCAGCATCCCAGTGACTCCCAATTATATTTCCAATCTAGACCTCTCCATTGAAATCCAGAATTATATACCCACTTGGCTAATTTGACATCACAGCTTGGATATGTAAAATATACCTCAGTTTTCATATGTCCAAAACTTGATTTCCAGCTCTAAATTTAATTCTCCACAGTCTTCCCCACATCTCTTTATTGCAATTTTATCTTTCCAGTTGATCAAGACAGCAAAACTTGGATTCATCCTTGATTCTCCTGTTTTCTCATGTATGACATCCAATCTCTCAGAAAACTCCTTTGGCCCTTCCTTTATATGACCTACAGATAACCATATTATATCACATCCACTGCCACCATCTTCTCCAGTATTCTATGTTCTCTTTCCTGGATATTGTAAAGCTTCCTAACTGGACTTTTTGCTTCAGCTCCTGGGCCCTAAGGTCTACGTCACAAAAGCCAAAAAGAATGCTCTTAAAATATGTCATTTTATAGCACCCCCATGTTCAAAGCCTTCCCACACTTTTATATAGAGACTGGATATACAAACATAGGAGAGACCACATATTAAAAATACAACTTTGACCCACAACCTACAGCAACTGGGGAACCAAACCACAACCTCTGTAGCAATCAGCTTAAAATGGTCAGTACTTGATCACTTACTGACAGCTTTGTTTGTTTTTTGTCCCTACTTTCAACTTAAGACCAACTAGTTGCAAAAAATGTTACCCTCCTAGTTAGTCCTCTTACAGTTTCCCTGTGCCAATAGCCTGTACTCAGGACACACTTGAAGCCTTCTCTTTATTTTATTTCACTCTTAAGCTTTCTTATTCTTCTGTCTGCCTTTGAGTCTCTGCCGAATACAAGATTAATGGTGGCTGACTCCTTTGCTATAGTAACTGAATAAACAGTTCACTTGTTGGAATCCCGTTGGTTGGTCTTTATTTCCACAATATCTTTCTCTAAGTAAATTACAAAGTCCTTCCAATTGTTCTGAAAGCTCCAGGTAATCTGCCTACCACCCAGCCCATCATTCCTTCTCTGTCCCCATGTCCTACCCTCTCCTTCTTGCCTAGGTTACTCTGACCACTCAATTTACTCCTGCCTGTTCCTTGTACACACCTGACACAACCTGGCCTGAGGCCCTTTTTACTTGTTCAGCCTTTTGCCTGGAATTCTCTAAGTTATTCACAGAAAGCTTCTCATTACTACCTTGCAATCTCAGTTCAAATGTGACTCTAACAGAGATATTTTCTATGACTTTCCTACATAACACAGACCACTCATGAACATACCCTGCCTCAGCCCTCTCTTTTCCCCCTCAGCATATTCTATATTCTTTATATCATTTGTCACCTCCTGGAATAATACATATTTTATTGTATATTTGTTTACTTTCTTTCTCTTCTCCACTCCCAACTAGTATGAAAATGAGACCAGGGATTTTGTTTTCTTCTATATCAATGTTTGATAAATGAATCCTATATAATAAAAGCCTAATATGCAAATCGACTGAACGGTGAAACAACAGGTAGAATGACCAGTCACTATGACGCACACTGACCACCAGCGAGCAGATGCTCAATGCAGGAGCTGCTCCCAGCCCTCAGGCCAGCCAAGGCAGGTGCTAGCGGGGCCCCCTGGATTGCCCTGCATCGCCCCGAAGAGGGAGGCGACCAGCAGCGGCAGCGGGGGATGGGGCCAGCCAGCGATCGGGCAGCAGTAACGGGCAGGGCCGGCCAGCAAGCAGGTGGGGGGGGGGGCAGCCAGCGAGCAGGCCTGCACTGCCCCTGATCACCCCACTGGTCACTTCCCACAGAGGAATCCTGAGGGGAACCAGAAGAATGAATGCCAACCTCTCTTTGCTCTTGCACAGTCCTCTGAGTCCTGCTGTGTTCCCCTTTGACTGACCAAACCAAAAGCCAGAGCACAAAGGAAACTTGATGTGGTTCACATTAGTCAGTTCCAGGGGCACAAGGCAGGGTGGAGAAGGATGGAACATGGACCTCGAGGGCCTGTGTTCATGATTCCAGTGTTCTTTTTTGTAATATCAGAAGCAGTGTAGCTTACTTTATAAAAAATAAAACACAAATCATTTTCTGTGTATATATGAGACTTTCAGTGAAACAGACTCCCTGGAAAATACCAACATAATCTGTTTGGGGGGTTATCATGTCAAACTATTGAACTAAATGTGTTGTTGAACTAAATGTACTTTTATACGGAACAGTGTTTTTTTCAATAATTTATGCCATTTTTATTATTTAGGTAACCTTTCATATACCTTAAAATGAATTATTGAATCTTATTATCCTATCTAATAAAGAGGGAATATGCTAATTGACCCTCATGCCATCACAAAGATGACAGTGCCCACAGCCAATAAGGAGGGAATATGCTAATTGACTGCCCCGTCCTCAAAGATAGTGGCGCCCACAGCCAATACGGAGGGAATATGCTAATTGACTGCCAAGCCCTCAAAGATGGTGGCGCCCACAGCCACAAGATGGCCGGCAGGGGAGGGCAGTTGTGGGCGATCAGGCCTGCATGGGAGGGCAGTTGGGGGGGACCAGGCCGGCAGGGGAGGGCAGTTGGGGGGGACCAGGGTGGCAGAGAAGAGCAGTTGGGGGTGATTGGGCTGACAGGGGAGGGCAGTTGGGGGTGATCAGGCCAGCAGGGGAGCAGTTAGGCATCAATCAGGCTGGCAGGGGAGTGGTTGGGGGTGATCAGCCTGGCAGGCAGAAGTGGTTAGGGGCAATCAGGTAGGCAGGCAGGCAAGCGGGTGGGAGCCAGCAGTCCCGGATTGTGAGAGGGATGTCTGACTGCCAGTTTAGGCCCAATCCCACAGGGCCTAAACCGGCAGTCAGACATCCCCCGAGGGGTCCCAGATTGGAGAGGGTGCAGGCTGGGCTGAGGGACACCCCCCCCCAGTGCACGAATTTTGTGCACCAGGCCTCTAGTCTATACATATACAAAGCTAAGTGACCGGCCAACCAGCTGACTGGCTGGTAGGTATGATGCACACTGGGAGCAGACACTCAACATAGCAACTCCGGGACCCTTCAGGGGATATCAGAGAGCCAGTTTCAACTCGATCCCCGCAGGCCAGGCTGAAGGACCCCACCTGCCAGAGGGACCCTGCTCACTCCACAGACACCCCAGGTGCACCTGACCAGGGAGGGACTGCAGGAGGTTGGCTCCAGGGTGTGTCCGGCCCATCTCGCCCAGTCCCGCCCCACAGGCCACCTTCTAATTAATTTCCTTTCAATGTGCACAAATCCGTGCACCAAGTCACTAGTATAAATATAATGTTGTATATTATTTATTATTGTTATTTCTCCAGGGGAAGAAATAAACCACAAACTTATTTCTTATGCCTGATGAATACATTAATGAATTCTAAAGGAAATGCTATAGTTTTTTTGAGGCAAACTTCATTGTCTTTATTTTTTAATTTATTTTTATTGTTGGGAGTATTACAGATGTACCCTATTTTCACCCCTTATCCCCCCATCCACCTAGCTCCCACCCACACCAGCCTTCATTTCATTATTGTGTGTGCCCATGGGCTATTCATATATGGATATAAGATCTTTGGTTAATCTTTTTCCACCCTCTTCCCCCCTTCCCTCTGAGATCTGTCAGTCTGATCCATGCTTCTATGTCTCTGGACCTATTTTGCTTATCAGTTTATTTTGTTCATTAGATTCCACATATAAGTGATATCATATGATACTTGTCTTTCTCCAACTGGCTTATTTTGCTTAGCATAATAATCTCCAGGTCCATCCATGCTGTCTCAAAGGGTAAGAGATCCTTTTTTTTACAGCTTCATAGTATTGCATTCTGTAAATGTCCCACAGCTTTTTTATCCACTCATCTACTGATGGACACTTTGGCTGTTTCCAGATCTTAGCTATTGAAAATAATGCTGCTATGAACATAGGGGTATATATATTCTTTCTGATTGGTGGAACTACTATTTTAAAAACAACAAACAAACAAAGAAACCAAGTGTTGAACAGTGGATTATTATTTTTTAATTATTTAAAAGGAACACATTTGGGGTTAGAAGAACAAATATAGTAGACTTAGTAAGATTTCCGTTTTAATCCTGTCTTACCAGGAAGATTCCTTGAAAAATAAGTTCAACTCTATGAGTCTGAGTTTCCTCATCTATAAAGTAAGAGGTGAGCAAAAATACCATCTTAGGTCTCTTCCAACTCTAAAATTTGACTACTAAATTGAAAGGTATTGATTAGTGCCAAAAGAACAAAGTTGGATTTTAAAGGAAGCATGTCAACAGCACTTATTAATTGAGAAAAAATAAAGATAAAGGCAATGTTGGCTTTTATTTCTAGGTTAAGAATTCACTAGTCCAAGGCCTGCATGCTGTATAACAACTTGTCCCCTCTGCTTCTTCCTTCTCCTCACACTGTATTATTCTAAAAGAATATCCAACGGGGGAAATCAATCATTAGAGAAATTTTAATTTGCATAGAATTGCTTCAGAGATGAGAAACAATAACTGTGATTGTGTTTTCTCCTTAGAACCAACTGTATTTATTCCCCAGTCTGAATACTCCATTGTATGCTCTTGCCTTCTTTGTCAAATACTAATTGAGCATAATGGCTTGGGTTGATTTCTGGGTTCTCTGTTCTGTTCCATTCATGTACATGTCTGTTCTATTGCCAGTACCAGGAAGTTCTGAGAACAGTGGTTTTATAATATAGCTTGATATATGATATTGTGATCCCTCCAACTTTGTTCTTCTTTCTCAGGATTGCTATGGCTATTCAGGGTCTTTTTTTTTCCAGATGAATTTTTTGGAGCATTTGTTCTAGGTCTGT